AATTTTATATTATATAAATATAATGTACAAAAACTTATGAATAAGTTAATGGTATAAAAAGACAAGGCAGACATATAACTAAATAATCTTGTGAAATTACCTTTTCATGAATCTGGAGTGGAACAGGGTAAATGAATAGAGATGGGTCCTAGATTGAGTTTTCATTTAAGTGATGGTTCTTCTTTGCTTTGGTTTACTCCACGCGGTTTCAGTACCAGAAAGACTGCCAAAGGGCGACAATTGTTACTTGCCAAACATAATTAATGAAAAGCAAGGCAGATAATATATGGACAAACCACAGTGAGATGCATCTAAGTAAATATATATATGTACCTTTGGCTTTGGATTTCCTCTAGAATGATCAATATTGGGAGCTAGCTTGCAAAGGAGGAGCCTTGGAACAGGAAAACAAGAATCATGGCAGAGCAAACAACGTATGGGTCTAGGGAGCTCTTGTTTTCGTAGAAGAGAGAAATGACAAAGAAGACGTTAGGTGATCGCTTTTTGTTTGTTTATTCCACCAAAAAAGACTAGACTACCGAGCATTGGGTGCTTTCTTGTTCATCATCCAACACACATAATTAAAGATAGAAAAGAAGAGTGATGAGTTTGGATGGTGGAAACGGGAAAGTGCAGAAGATGGTAGTCTTGGATTCTGCTTTGATTTTAGTTGAGTCAATGGTCTTCTTCGATTGATTCCATCATAACCAGTTTCAGAAGCTGAAAAACAAGGCAAAAGGGCAGTTATTTTGTTAGTCGTCAAAATCATAAAGAAAAGAGAAGGCGAATGAATAAATCAAATTAAATCATACGCATCTTAAGTGAATATATAATTAGTACCTTTTCGGCTTTTGATTGCCTTTGGAATGTTCAATGTTGGAACAAGAAAACAAGATCTACTGCATGATAAAGCGAAAGAGTCTTTAGAGTTGAATCGATCGGTGAGTTTGCAGGCAAGGGTTGTAAGATTGAGCTTTGGTTTTGGGAGAGAAATGAAGATGGGAAAGTTCGGTGGTTGCTGCTTTTTAATTGATCCCACCACGGAATTTGTCCCAAAATACCAAGAAATTAAGCACATCATTTCAGTCAACTCTCAGTGTCCCACTTTTCTTTGCCTTTTGTTGTACTAATGGGATTTTTTTTTTATTGTGAAAAATTAAGATATTTTAATAATTAAATATCAATAAAAAATTTTAAAATATTCATTATGAAGTAATACCTAATGAAGATTTATTTGGATAATTAAAAAATTTCACAAAAATTTTAATAATATGTGAAAATATT